CACACTGGCCGATTCCCACCAAGGCAGGGTGGCCCGAAAAAGAAAAACTTTCACCATCATTCACTCCATCACTGTCTTGCCAGAAAGGTGCTTTACACTACAGTTTTTAAACTGCAACATTAACACCCCTCCTTCAGAGTGCACGCACTGTACTTCCCATCTCCAGGACTCAAGTCCGGCCTGCCGGTTTCCCTGAACCCTTCATAAATGTTACTTTGCTCACACTCCAACAGCACGTCAAGTATTAAAAACCATTCGTCTCCATTCACTCCTATCAAACACGCTCACGCACGCCTGCTGGAAGTCCAAGCCCCTCGCACACAAAACCTCCTTTACCCCCTCCCTCCAACCTTTCCTAGGCGACCCCTACCCCGCCTTCCTTCCACTACAGACTGATACACTCTTGAAGTCATTCTGTTTCGCTCCATTCTCTCTACATGTCCGAACCACCTCAACAACCCTTCCTCAGCCCTCTGGACAACAAGTTTTGATAATCCCGCACCTCCTCCTAACTTCCAAACTACGAATTCTCTGCATTATATTCACACCACACATTGCCCTCAGACATGACATCTCCACTGCCTCCAGCCTTCTCCTCGCTGCAACATTCATCACCCATGCTTCACACCCATATAAGAGTGTTGGTAAAAACTATACTCTCATACATTCCCCTCTTTGCCTCCAAGGACAAAGTTCTTTGTCTCCACAGACTCCTAAGTGCACCACTCACCCTTTTCCCCTCATCAATTCTATGATTCACCTCATCTTTCATAGACCCATCCGCTGACACGTCCACTCCCAAATATCTGAATACATTCACATCCTCCATACTCTCTCCCTCCAATCTGATATCCAATCTTTCATCACCTAATATTTTTGTTATCCTCATAACCTTACTCTTTCCTGTATTCACTTTTAATTTTCTTCTTTTGCACACCCTACCAAATTCATCCACCAATCTCTTCAACTTCTCTTCATAATCTCCCAAGAGCACAGTGTCATCAGCAAAGAGCAACTGTTACAACTCCCACTTTGTGTGATTTATCTTTTAACTCCACGCCTCTTGTCAAGACCCTCGCATTTACTTCTCTTACAACCCCATCTATAAATATATTAAACAACCACGGTGACATCACACATCCTTGTCTAAGGCCTACTTTTACTGGGAAATAATTTCCCTCTTTCCTATGTACTCTAACTTGAGCCTCACTATCCTCGTAAAAACTCTTCACTGCTTTCAGTAACCTGCCTCCTACACCATACACCTGCAACATCTGCCACATTGCCCCCCTATCCACCCTGTCATATGCCTTTTCCAAATCCATAAATGCCACAAAGACCTCTTTAGCCTTATCTAAATACTGTTCACTTATATGTTTCACTGTAAAACACCTGGTCCACACACCCCCTACCTTTCCTAAAGCCTCCTTGTTCATCTGCTATCCTATTCTCAGTCTTACTTTTAATTCTTTCAATAATAACTCTACCATACACTTTACCAGGTATACTCAACAGACTTATCCCCCTATAATTTTTGCACTCTCTTTTGTCCCCTTTGCCTTTATACAAAGGAACTATGCATGCTCGCTGCCAATCCCTAGGTACCTTACCCTCTTCCATACATTTATTAAATAATTGCACCAACCACTCCAAAACTATATCCCCACCTGCTTTTAACATTTCTAACTTTATCTCATCAATCCCAGCTGCCTTACCCCCTTTCATTTGACCTACTGCCTCACGAACTTCCCCCACACTCAAAACTGGCTCTTCCTCACTCCTACAAGATGTTATTCCTCCTTGCCCTATACACGAAATCACAGCTTCCCCATCTTCATCAACATTTAACAATTCCTCAAAATATTCCCTCCATCTTCCCAATACCTCTAACTCTCCATTTAATAACTCTCCTCTCCTATTTTTAACTGACAAATCCATTTGTTCTCTAGGCTTTCTTAACTTGTTAATCTCACTCCAAAACTTTTTCTTATTTTCAACAAAATTTGTTGATAACATCTCACCCACTCTCTCATTTGCTCTCTTTTTACATTGCTTCACCACTCTCTTAACCTCTCTCTTTTTCTCCATATACTCTTCCCTCCTTGCATCACTTCAACTTTGTAAAAACTTCTCATATGCTAACTTTTTCTCCCTTACTACTCTCTTTACATCATCATTCCACCAATCGCTCCTCTTCCCTCCCGCACCCACTTTCCTGTAACCACAAACTTCTGCTGAACACTCTAACACTACATTTTTAAACCTACCCCATACCTCTTCGACCCCATTGCCTATGCTCTCATTAGCCCATCTATCCTCCAATAGCTGTTTATATCTTTCCCTAACTGCCTCCTCTTTTAGTTTATAAACCTTCACCTCTCTCTTCCCTGATGCTTCTATTCTCCTTGTATCCCATCTACCTTTTACTCTCAGTGTAGCTACAACTAGAAAGTGATCTGATATATCTGTGGCCCCTCTATAAACATGTACATCCTGAAGTCTACTCAACAGTCTTTTATCTACCAATACATAATCCAACAAACTACTGTCATTTTGCCCTACATCATATCTTGTATACTTATTTATCCTCTTTTTCTTAAAATATGTATTACCTATAACCAAACCCCTTTCTATACAAAGTTCAATCAAAGGGCTCCCATTATCATTTACACCTGGCACCCCAAACTTACCTCCCACACCCTCTCTAAAAGTTTCTCCTACTTTAGCATTCAGGTCCCCTACCACAATTACTCTCTCACTTGGTTCAAAGGCTCCTATACATTCACTTAACATCTCCCAAAATCTCTCTCTCTCCTCTGCATTCCTCTCTTCTCCAGGTGCATACACAGGGTTACTAGCCCATTGCTCCCGGCATTTTATTCGCCTCATGCGACACGCATGGCTTACGGAGGAAAGATTCTTTTCCACTTCCCCATGGACAATAGAAGAAATAAAGAAGAACAAGAGCTATGTAGAAAAAGGAGAAAAACCTAGATGTATGTATATATATATATATATATGCATGTGCATGTCTGTGAAGTGTGACCAAAGTGTAAGTTGGAGTAGCAAGATATCCCTGTTATCTAGCGTGTTTATGAGACAGAAAAAGACACCAGCAATCCTACCATCATGCAAAACAGTTACAGGTTTATGTTTCACAGTCATCTGGCAGGACGGTAGTACTTCCCTGGGTGGTTGCTGTCTACCAACCTACTATGCTTTATTATTACGCTAATATCAACACTACAGCTACAACACTACAGCCTATCACAATTGATCTAATATGACATAAGAAACAATATAAATAACATAAAACATGTTAAATACTCCAGAATGAATAATATTTGGCATAACACCAAGCAGTTTGACAGAGTTATGAAGAGGATATGGTAAACAAATACCATTCTCCTATCCTTGTCTTGGGGGCTTATATTAAAGAAAACGGAGTATAGCACAGGGCTAACTATGATATACACTCGTGCTCCACCATAAACATGAAACAAAAAAGTTATTTTCTCTCTGTAGATTATCACACATATCAGCATATGTGTAAAGAACCTAGGGTAACCCAAAAAAAGTCAACGTATATTATTTTTAGTACCTGGCTTGGGTTAGCCATATGTGATTTTTGGTAAATATTCGATTCCCAGCCAGTGTAGAAACATTAGGCGTGTTTCTTTACACCTGTTGTCTATGTTTACCCATCAGTAAATGGATACCTGGGTGTTAGTCAACTAGTGTGAGTGTTATCCTGGGACACTGACCTAATTTTCATGAAATACTCAGCATAACTAGTGCCTTTCTATACAGTAGTATGTCACTGATGTCAGCTAGGCCTGTATACCTTGTACATGTACGTGTAGTAAATAAAGATATTATTATTATTATTATTATTATTATTATTATTATATTATTATTATTTTCTCAGTTGTTTGCTGGGTTATCTTATTCAAACTTGGGCAATATATGATGGAAAGATACTTCTTCACGTACACCAAAAATGAAAGAAATCAGACCATAAATAGCGGAGTTCACTTCTCAACCATTAGCGGCCACTTAGCGGTATATTTTTGTATGGTTGTTATGGTTATATTCTCATTTTTTCGGTCTCATTGGATAGAATGAAAGATATATTACTGAAATAGATATGATTTCGATTGCTTTCATGATGAAAAGTACCTTGAAATTGCGCTCACAGCAGCGAAAATGTTCTATTCTTTAGCGAAGCTCAAGAGTAAACAAATGACGTCATCGTCCAATACCTGTCCGCCTGCCAGTCCAAATTCCAATACGGAGTCAAGAATGGTTTGACATTATTTATACAATTATTACAATAATGCATTTGTCTGCATAACATGTATGATGCAATGTATGATGGAAAGATGCTTCTTAACATACAACAAAAGTAAAAAAGACGGACGATAAATAAGGGAGTTCACTTCTCAGCCATTAGCCGCCTCTTTGCAGTATATTTTTGTATGGTTTTTATGGTTGTATTCTCATTCTTTGGACTCATTTGATAGAATGGAAGATATATTACAGAAATAGACATGATTTTGATTGCTTTCTTGACGAAAAGTACCTTGAAATTGAGCTCAAAGTAGCGGAAATGTTCGATTTTTGCCGATGTTCAATGAACTGTGTAAGTCAAGTTGGTTAATTTTATTAAGTGTATTCTAACCTAACCACTCTGTAATTTGGCAAACTCAGTAATCCGGCACACTACAGGTCCCAATAATGCCGGATTTGTGATGGAGGATCTGTACGTAGGCAAATTCAAATAATTATTTCTTTTCATGGAGTATAAAGATAATGTATGTACATGTAATAAAACATTGTTAGGCACAAAAGAACGCTTAAAGACTACTTAATACTTAAAGACTACTTAAGAATTAGACATAGGCTATTAAGTAGGAAAGGCCAGTATGTATTTAAAAAAAAATGTCAGAATTAAGTATAGAAGTCAAATGAAATTATTTATTTACTATTTTTTTTTTCAGGGAACTAAAGAAAGAGTTGGTTGTGTTGGGTCATTCTTAGCAGCACTGACTCATGTGGCATGTACTTCAGAGGAGGAGGAACTGTTGTGCCAGTCCATCCAGTACACTTTGCCTTGGTGTATGGCCCAACATTTTAACACAAGACTCTATGCTCAAGTTAGTTTTGCCATATACCTGTACAACTGTAGCAGACATTTTTTTTAAATAATCATGCACAGTAGGCCCACTCCTCTTATGCCTTCACCTACATTCATTTTTGCACCTATTTTCATCTCTTACTCCAAAGGTTGTCCACCTATTGTGTTGGTTCCAGCTTTTATTTTTTATCAATCATGTTTCTATGTTGAATTTTAAGCATTATTATATTTTCTGTTAGTTTTTAACCAAATGCATTTATACAGTGGAACCTTGGTTTTCGTTTGCCCTGGTTTTCATCGAATTTGGATTTCGACAACTTTTTTCGTCAAAATATTGTCCTAGTTGTCATTCATCACCTTGGTTTTCATCCGCTGTACCGAACGTGCTCGTGCACCCACACCCACACAAAGCATCCCATGCATGAATTCTGAGTCAGTCTGGCTTTGTTTCTTGAGTGAGCATTACCCTGCGCGTTCATACAAAACATTTTGTAATAATCGATTGTTTTTTGTGCTTGTTTATTGAGTGCGACTGCTAAATAAGCCACCATAGGGCCAAAGAAAGTTTTGTGTGCCAGCCCTTTGATAAAAAAGGTGAGAAACATGATAGAATTCTAGAAAGAACTTGTGGAAAAATACGAAAGTACCGTACGTGTTGTTGATCTCGCCATGATGTATGGGAAGTTGCAAGCCGTGTCTTCAACATGTTCAATAACAATGCCATGTCCCATTTTAGGCAAATCTTAGAGACGCCAAAAACAGGCCTCTGTGGACAGATTTTTTGTGCGACAGGGGTACAGTGACTCTCAAGCTGGTCTTAGTGCCAGTAAAAGACAAAGAAGGGAAGTAACCCTGGGTAGGTACTTGATACCTGAAGTCCTTATGGAAGGGGATTCTCTTTCCAAACAGTAAACTCTCTTCCCTCTCCCCTCCTCACCATCTTCCATAGGCTAACAAAGAGTCTTCAGTAAAGGTAAAACTGATTTAAATGTTCATTTATCCATTAAAATTAGTGCTTTATATTTATTTATCAACAAATTTTGTTGAAAATAAGAAAAAGTTTTGGAGTGAGATTAACAAGTTAAGAAGCCTAGAGAACAAATGGATTTGTCAGTTAAAAATAGGAGAGGAGAGTTATTAAATGGAGAGTTAGAGGTATTGGGAAGATGGAAGGAATATTTTGAGGAATTGTTAAATGTTGATGAAGATAGGGAAGCTGTGATTTCGTGTATAGGGCAAGGAGGAATAACATCTTGTAGGAGTGAGGAAGAGCCGTTGTGAGTGTGGGGGAAGTTCGTGAGGCAGTAGGTAAAATGAAAGGGGGTAAGGCAGCCGGGATTGATGGGATAAAGATAGAAATGTTAAAAGCAGGTGGGGATATAGTTTTGGAGTGGTTGGTGCAATTGTTTAATAAATGTATGGAAGAGGGTAAGGTACCTAGGGATTGGCAGAGAGCATGCATAGTTCCTTTGTATAAAGGCAAAGGGGATAAAAGAGAGTGCAAAAATTATAGGGGGTATAAGTCTGTTGAGTGTACCTGGTAAAGTGTATGGTAGAGTTATAATTGAAAGAATTAAGAGTAAGACGGAGAATAGGATAGCAGATGAACAAGGAGGCTTTAGGAAAGGTAGGGGGTGTGTGGACCAGGTGTTTACAGTGAAACATATAAGTGAACAGTATTTAGATAAGGCTAAAGAGGTCTTTGTGGCATTTATGGATTTGGGAAAAAAGGCGTATGACAGGGTGGATAGGGGGGCAATGTGGCAGATGTTGCAAGTGTATGGTGTAGGAGGTAGGTTACTGAAAGCAGTGAAGAGTTTTTACGAGGATAGTGAGGCTCAAGTTAGAGTATGTAGGAAAGAGGGAAATTTTTTCCCAGTAAAAGTAGGCCTTAGACAAGGATGTGTGATGTCACCGTGGTTGTTTAATATATTTATAGATGGGTTGTAAGAGAAGTAAATGCGAGGGTCTTGGCAAGAGGCGTGGAGTTAAAAGATAAAGAATCACACACAAAGTGGGAGTTGTCACAGCTGCTCTTTGCTGATGACACTGTGCTCTTGGGAGATTCTGAAGAGAAGTTGCAGAGATTGGTGGATGAATTTGGTAGGGGGTGCAAAAGAAGAAAATTAAAGGTGAATACAGGAAAGAGTAAGGTTATGAGGATAACAAAAAGATTAGGTGATGAAAGATTGAATATCAGATTGGAGGGAGAGAGTATGGAGGAGGTGAAAAGTATTCAGATATTTGGGAGTGGACGTGTCAGCGGATGGTCTATGAAAGATGAGGTGAATCATAGAATTGATGAGGAAAAAGAGGTGAGTGGTGCACTTAGGAGTCTGTGGAGACAAAGAACTTTGTCCTTGGAGGCAAAGAGGGGAATGTATGAGAGTATAGTTTTACCAACGCTCTTATATGGGTGTGAAGCGTGGGTGATGAATGTTGCAGCGAGGAGAAGGCTGGAGGCAGTGGAGATGTCATGTCTGAGGGCAATGTGTGGTGAGAATATAATGCAGAGAATTCGTAGTTGGAAGTTAGGAGGAGGTGCGGGATTACCAAAACTGTTGTCCAGAGGGCTGAGAAGGGTTGTTGAGGTGGTCGGACATGTAGAGAGAATGGAGCGAAACAGAATGACTTCAAGAGTGTATCAGTCTGTAGTGGAAGGAAGGCGGGGGAGGGGTCGGCCTAGGAAGGGTTGGAGGAGGGGGTTTAAAGGAGGTTTTGTGTGCGAGGGGCTTGGACTTCCAGCAGGCATGCTTGAGCGTGTTTGATAGGAGTGAATGGAGACAAATGGTTTTAATACTTGACGTGCTGTTGGAGTGTGAGCAAAGTAACATTTATGAAGGGATTCAGGGAAACCGGCAGGCCGGACTTGAGTCCTGGAGATGGGAAGTACAGTGCCTGCACTCTGAAGGAGGGGTGTTAATGTTGCAGTTTAAAAACTGTAGTGTAAAGCACCCTTCTGGCAAGACAGTGATGGAGTGAATGATGGTGAAAGTTTTTCTTTTTCGGGCCACCCTGCCTTGGTGGGAATCGCCGGTGTGATAATAAAAATAAAAAAAAAATATTTATAATTTACTCATATTTGCCTGTATGTAAAAACTATATTATCTCAAAATGTATTATTTGGTTGATATTTTGGGTGTCGGAATGTATTAATGATTTACAGATTTATGAATAAAAGTTATTTTTTCAATTTTTTTTTTTTTCCCGGAACTGAAAGAGTTCAAACCAGGCCCCTGACTTTGTGGATGTACCTCAAGGAGGTAAGGGAAATTTTCCCAAAAACCACAACCTTTCCTTTGTTGCCCCAAAATTAAAAACAAGTTATGCTAAGTTAGTTTTCCCTAATTCAAAGGCCATTTTTTTTTTAAAAATCTAATCCCCCTCCCCCTTATATTTTCGTTATTTTTAACCAAAGGCATTTATACAGTGGAACCTGGTTTTCGTTTGCCCTGGTTTTCTTTCGAATTTGGATTTCGACAACTTTTTTTCGTCAAAATATTGTCCTAGTTGTCATTCATCACCTTGGTTTTCATCCGCTGTACCGAACGTGCTCGTGCACCCACACCCACACAAAGCATCCCATGCATGAATTCTGAGTCAGTCTGGCTTTGTTTCTTGAGTGAGCATTACCCTAGCGCGTTCATACAAACATTTTGTAATAATCGATTGTTTTTTGTGCTTGTTTATTGAGTGCGACTGCTAAATAAGCCACCATAGGGCCAAAGAAAGTTTTGTGTGCCAGCCCTTTGATAAAAAAGGTGAGAAACATGATAGAATTCTAGAAAGAACTTGTGGAAAAATACGAAAGTACCGTACGTGTTGTTGATCTCGCCATGATGTATGGGAAGTTGCAAGCCGTGTCTTCAACATGTTCAATAACAATGCCATGTCCCATTTTAGGCAAATCTTAGAGACGCCAAAAACAGGCCTCTGTGGACAGATTTTTTGTGCGACAGGGGTACAGTGACTCTCAAGCTGGTCTTAGTGCCAGTAAAAGACAAAGAAGGGAAGTAACCCTGGGTAGGTACTTGATACCTGAAGTCCTTATGGAAGGGGATTCTCTTTCCAAACAGTAAACTCTCTTCCCTCTCCCCTCCTCACCATCTTCCATAGGCTAACAAAGAGTCTTCAGTAAAGGTAAAACTGATTTAAATGTTCATTTATCCATTAAAATTAGTGCTTTATATTTATTTCTCATTATTTTCTGTATGTAAAACTATAGTTATTCTCAAAATGTATTTTTTGTTGATATTTTTGGGTGTCTGGAATGGATTAATTGGATTTACATTATTTCTTATGGGAAATATTGCTTTAGTTTTCGTCGAATTTGGTTTTCATCAGACACTCTGGAATGAGTTAAAAACAAAAACCGAGGTTCCACTGTACTTTGTGTATGATCACTCTGCATATGTATAGAGTTCAAGAACCACAGTTCAAGAACCACACCTTCAATAGTTGTTACAAAATGTGACATTTACATGTATTATCATATAGTATATGTACACGATATTGTCAACAGGCTCATTCTCCAATAATCTTTAAACTCTCCCTTGTCCCCTTTTCTCTTGTACAGTAAAACTATGCCTACTCTCTGCCAGTCCTTAGATACCTTCCCTTCTTTCATGGATGTATTGTATAAATATGCCAATCACCTCAAAACTTTATCCCCCACCCTCTTTCAGCACTTCCATCTTAATCTCATCTGTTCCAGCTTCTTTCCTTTCATTTTACCAGCCACCTCATTCACTTTCTTTGCATCCACCTCTTACTTTTCCTTATATCTATGAGATGTTATTCCTCCTTGTCCAGTGCTTGGAATCACTATCTTCCTGTCATAATCAATATTTAGCATCACCTTAAATATTCTCTCAATGTTTCCAGTCCCACCACCTTCCCTTTTTCATTGTTAAATGATAAATCCATTTGCTTCCCCAGGTTTTCTCAGCTTGTTAACCCTTTCAGGGTCCGTGCCGTAGATCTACAGCTTTATGTTAAGGGTCCAAACCGTAGATCTGTGCCATGAGCTCAGCTTACTCTGATAAACTGTGAGCGGTAAATTTGGGCCTAGATATGAGAGAATACATCTATGTGGTATGTGTGCACCACATAAAACAAATCCTACAGCACACAGTGCATAATGAGAGAAAAAAAACTGAGACCGTAATTTTTTATTAAAACTTTGCAGTGTTTTTTCGTATGTTTTTTAAAGGTGTATTTGCAATTTATTGGTCTCATTTGATAGAATGGAAGATATGTTACAGAAATAGAGATGATTTTGATTGGTTTTACAGTATTACTGAAAATGGCTTGAAACTGAGCTCAAAGTAGCGGAAATGTTAAATTTTTGCCGATGTCCAAGAGTAAACAAATGACCTTACACGTCTAATACACGCCAGCTGGTGGGTCTAATATATGTTCACAAATGTGCCGATATTATTTATACAATTATTACAATATTGCATGACAGCAAATCTTCTATTTTTTGGTTTGAATAAAAATTCATTATGTGAATTAAAAATCAAATTAGAATTCATTTTTTAAGCCTGAAAATGTAACTAATGAACAGAGGAAATGGTAGTTTAGTGCCAGGAATGCCTGCATTGTTTATTCTGGACCCTATTTTGAAATTGGAATATTTTGAACTTTGCACTAAATTGGCCAAATGACTAATTTTCAGTCACTTTATTTTGTAGTTGAAATAGTTGAGTTGGCAGTTTCCTGTGCTCAGTCAATAGAATAGAAGTAATACTAGTGAAACAGCTAAGAATTTGGTCAACTGGAATAAGGTAATTGGCCTAAAATGGGAGTCAAAGTCAGCAAAATTGCTGATGTGTAAGTGTCGCTGACACATCAGAATTCGCGAGAGCATAATTTCATCAGTTTTCCATCAAATTTCGTACTTTTTTTTTATTACTTTCAGAAAAAGATTCTCTACCATTTCATAAGAAAAAATAACAAAATTATTTTCTGAAAATTCTTGGACACTGGTGTGCACTTTGAAATTTGGCCTCTGAACCCTGAAAGGGTTAATTTCTCTTCAAAACCCTTTCTTATTCTCACCCAAATTTGATAAAAGACTTGCCCATTTTCTTATTGGTTTTTTGTTTGTGCTCTCTTAATAATCTTTTAAATTCTTTCCTTCTTTCTTTCTTCCTTTCTCTGTATACCATGTACTCTGACTTCCATATATCATTTCTTCTTTGTAAAAGACCTCTCATGTGTTCACTTCTTTCCCTGCCGTCCTCTTTACATCATTCCACCAATCATTCTTATTCCCCTACCCCCTATGTCTTCTTCTTTCTTTCAACACACCGGCCGTATCCCACCGAGGCGGGGTGGCCCAAAAGGAAAAACGAAAGTTTCTCCTTTTACATTTAGTAATATATACAGGAGAAGAGGTTACTAGCCCCTTGCTCCCGGCATTTTAGTCGCCTCTTACAACACGCATGGCTTACGGAGGAAGAATTCTGTTCCACTTCCCCATGGAGATAAGAGGAAATAAACAAGAATAAGAACTAGAAAGAAAATAGAAGAAAACCCAGAGGGGTGTGTATATATGTGCTTGTACATGTATGTGTAGTGTGACCTAAGTGTAAGTAGAAGTAGCAAGACGTACCTGAAATCTTGCATGTTCATGAGACAGAAAAAAGGACACCAGCAATCCTACCATCATGTAAAACAATTACAGGCTTTCGTTTTACACTCACTTGGCAGGACGGTAGTACCTCCCTGGGCGGTTGCTGTCTACCAACCTACTACCTATTACCCCCTACGTATCACCACAATTTCTGCTGTGCATTGTAGCTCTGCATTTTTATATCTGTACACACATAGCCCTCTCATAGGAGAATGAAACTTATGATAACAGTTCATTTCAACTCGGATTAATTAATGGTCTAAATTGGACCAAAATGTCATATATAAATTTCATTCCCCTGTGTACAGGTTATTTTTTTATTATTTTAGTCACAGTATTATGCCCGCCCCCTTTTGTTCTTTTTAAACTACTCCATAGCTCTTTGACCTCATTATCTATACTTTTTCTTGCTCACCTTTCTTCCATTAGTTTCTTATATCTTCCCTTATCTGTCTTCATTTTTAGTTTATTCACATTCACTACTCTCTTGTCCACTGTTACCATTCTCCTTCTGTGCCATCTACCTTTGCTCTTACTATAACCACCACTAATAATGATCTGACATATCTGTCACTCTAAAAACTTTCACATGCAGACACTCCAAATTTACCTATTATATTATCAACAATGGGTTCTCCCTTTTTAACATTTGGGTCCCCCACAACAATTATTCGCTCACTTGGTTCAAAACTCCCTCAACATTTGCTTAATGCCTCCCAAAATCTTCCCTCCACACTTCCCGCATTCCATGTACATGAACATTTTCTATGACCAACTTCTCACATCCCACCTTTGTTCTAATCCACATAATTCTTGAATTTAAACACTTATACCCTGTCTTTTCTCTCTATTGTTGGTCATTTAATATTACTACTACACCTTTAGCTCTAGTTCTCTCAGATACACTTGGGCTTATAGTTCTCTCAGATACACTTGATTTAAGCCCTCGTGACCCATACTATGTACGTATTCATTTTTCCTGGAGTCTATCCGAAATTTATTTCTGGGGTCATTGCCCTCTTGGCCTGGTCCCTGACCAGGCTTTCTGGTTGCTGGTCTAATAAACTAGACTCTTAGTGGCAGCCACATACAATCTGTATGCCCTACAGTCCAGCTGATCAGGATATGACTTGAAGAACTTACAGAGTTCCAGCTTGCAAACAGCCAGAGGTTTGTTCATAATATCCCTTTATTTACAACATAACTTTGCCATTATTTTGGGGGGGAAGGTAAGAAGTAGGGTATTTTGACTTGATGTGTGGTAAAATTTAAACTGATTTGTATTTTGTTGTCAGGTATCACTAAGAAAAATATGGCATCACTGTGAAGCCAGAGGGATAAAAGCTGTACTGGAGAAATATCCAGCTGTGCAGCAGTGTTTACAGTTTGTAGTAGAACAAGGCAATGCTGCCAGGAACACACTCAACATGCTCAATGATTTCTACTTCAAGGTCTTCCATCCCATACAACATTATACTCTTGAGGTAAACTGCTTACTGATCAGCATAGACCTATTTTCATATTCAGTGGAGTGAGTGTAATTTCTACTTACAATCTGGCAGTCCTATAATTACCATCCTGTTGTGCTAGCCAGTATACTAGTGTCAGACCATGAGTGCCAATCTGGATCACATCATTTAATAGTGTACATTTATTCATTTTGAACTTTCACTGTATTCTCAGGTCTTAGAAATTCAGATAAATCACTTGATATGATTTTACAAATTTTGTATTTTATGTAATTTTGAGTGTTGTATAGCTCTGATTCCCATGTGAGAAGGTATACAATCTGTCCAGAAAATTATAATGCCTGTAGGCTTATGTCATGATTTTTCACATAATTCACTTATGTGGGTCTCATGAGATGCAACATATAACATTCATCCTGCCATGTTGTCTAAACACTTGGTAATGCAGCGTGTGTGGTGAGATTCACCCAGCAACCTTGTGCCTGTTGTGAAGGTGAGATGTGTTTTCTTGGTGCCTGCATTAGAGGGCCAACATTAGTGTCCAGCAGTGCAGATAAGGAGGATGTATCAGCTGTGATAGCCTTGCACAAGAGCGATGATAAAACACATTTTATTTATGCTCAAATAGGACTGAAATTGTATTCGGTGCAGCGTCTCATAAAACATTGTCATGACCATGGAGATCTCCGTGTTCCAGACCCACTTCCTAAGACTGGAAGGCTAAAATTAATTTCCGCAAGCACTCTGAAAGTGATCAGTCATAAAATAAAGGCAAATCCTTCCATCACAGCATGGGAAATGAAGGAGAAAAATCCTTGGTTATTTGAACATGTGTTCCTCAGATATCTGCAGACAGGAGTAAATTTTTTGCAAGAAATTCTGTGAGTGAGGTATGGAGGAGTAGAGGGAAGTTTTGTGGTCAGTTTAATTAGTCTACAGTAACTGGTAGTGGTGGAAGGAGGGATGTGTTGAGCACTTCTTTATGACCCATACCTACCACAATACACCGCCAAGACTGTGAAACACCTTGTATATTTCATGGTATTGGGATGTTGCTCTTATTATGGTGTTGAGGAAATAGCAATACAGTGGAACCCCGAATATCGGCCGTAATCCGTTCCAGAAGGTCGGCCTAAATTCAAAAAGGCCTAAATTTGAGGCAATATTTCCCATAAGAATTAATATAAATACAATTAATCCGTTCCAGATGCCCAAAAATGTTAACAAAAAAAATATTTTTAAAGATCAATTGTAGTTTTACATATACAAAACAACAAGAACTAAATAAAATAAATAAATGAACATTTAACCTCATGACTGTCACAACCCCAAATCCTGAGGTGTCACCTGGTGTCACAAACTTTCCAAAGAAAAAAAATGATTTTTTTCTTGTGAAATGATAGAGAATCTTTTCCCGATTGTAATGACACCAAAAGAATGAAATTTGATGGAAAACTGACGGAATTATGCTCTCACAAAGTTAGCGACCTCGGCGATATTTACGATTGGGCGATTTCGCCTTTTTGAGCCCTATTTTTGGCTAATTCCATTGTTCCAATCATAGCTATTTCTTTAGAACTCCATTTTTTCTATCGAATGAGTACAAGAGACTGCCCATTTACCGATCTCAACTACCCAATAACGTGGTCAGAAATTTTCAATTTGGCCAATTTCACGAAAATTAAAAATATGACAATTTCAAAATAGGGTCAAGAGTGACCAATGCAGACATTCCTGGCTCTAAAATAACATTTTCTTTGTTCATCAGTCACGTCTCCAGGCCCCTCTGATATTACTCTTGCTTTCTATTTTTAATTTTTATTCAAACCAAAAATATAAGATTTACTGTTACGCAGACTACTGCAATATTGTAATAATTGTATAAATAATGTCAACCCATTCATGACCGCATATTAGAATGGCTACTTGGACATTTATTGGACAATGACATCATTTGTTTACTTTTGAACATCAGCAAAAATCAAACATATCCCCTACTTTGAGCTCCATTTCAAGGTTCTTTTCATAGTAAAACCAATCAGAATCGCCTCTATTTCTATAATATGTTTTCCATTCTATCAACTGAGACCAAGAAAATGTGAATACACCCATAAATACTATACGAAAATAGACCACAAAGTCGGTATTTTAATTAAAAAGGTGGTTGAAGTTTTTTTTTTCTCATTATGCATTACGTGCTGCAGGATTTTTTTTATATGGTGCACACTGACCACAAAGACCCATTCTCTCACATGTGAGCCTACCAGCTTTCTCCTGCTTGATTTGAAGCCGCTAGAATATATAGAGTATATATACATCAAAAACGGTGGCTCATAAGACTTATATATATACGACCAAAACAGTCAAAGGGTTAAATCACTATTACATACCTTTATTGAAGACTCTTGTTGGCTTATGAAAGACAGGGAGGAGGAGAGAAGGAGGACTGATTATTGTTTGGAAGGGGAATCCCGCTCCATAAGGACTTCAGGTATCAAAGCCCTCTCTGGGGTTACTTCCCTCCCTGCCTGCTACATTCCCTGCATGCCTGCTACACACCCTCCCTCCACGCTACGCTCCCTGCATGCCTGCTACACTCCCTGCCTCTCTCCACATCTTCCATTGTTTGTGATCTCTTTTTCGTTAACATGTTTACCCATTTTGCCATATCAGCTTCCTTGATTTGCTCTCTCTTTGCCAGAATAGAAGTGATTGTTGATTTGTTTTTGCCATATATCCTGGCAAGCTAGAGCACATGCACACCATTCTCGTATTTTTCTACAATTTCTTTCTTCAATTCTATCATGTTTCTCACTTTCTTTACCAAAGGGCTGGCACTAGGAACTTTCTTTGGGCCCATGGTGGCTTATTTCACAGTCATACTTAATAAACAATTACAAAAACCAATGGATTTTAAAAAATTGTTTGGATGAATGTGCGAAGTATGTGCTCTTTCTCCAAGAGACATAGGGAGACTGACACCTATGCACTGTGTCCTGGCAGGAGGCAGGCTGACGTGTCTAATACGGCTGATTTGTGATGTACCAGCTGAAAAATGGAGCAAAATTTCGGCCCAAAAACCCGCCTAAAAACGATTCAGCTGATAAACACAGCGGCGCTATTCGGGGTTCCACTGTACTTCCTAAAACTGCCTTAATTAATCAGAACAATTATTTGGAGCTTTTATTATATTGTTTACCTGATTCCTTTGAAAGGGCCAAAGCTACACTGTTTATGCAAGATGATACTCCTTGCCACACTATCAAAAGTATAAAAAAGTGGTTTTAAGTGCTTGTGAAGTGCCCTGTTTTAGTGACTGGCCAGGTAATAGCCCAGACCTTAGCTCAAGAGACTGTAGTATCAAATGTATCTAGAAAACCTCTAGACTTTCCATTTCCAAAAAAGTGATTACCTCACTAATATCTGTCCAAGCTCTCTTTACCTTCTTCTTTCAAGAAACCAGCTGTATCCCACCAAGGCAGGGTGACTCAAAAAAAGGAAAACTAAAGTTAATCTTTTTAAATTTAGTAATTTATACAGGAGAAGGGGTTACTAGCCTATTGCTCCGGGCATTTTAGTTGCCTCTTACAACACGCATGGCTTACGGAGGAAGAATTCTGTTCCATTTCCCCATGGAGATAAGAGGAAATAAACAAATACAAGAACTAGTATGGAAATAGAAGAAAACTCAGAAGGGTGTGTATACATATATAGGTTTCTACATGCATGTGTAGTGTGACCTAAGTGTAAGTAGAAGTAGAAACACATACCTGAAATCTTGCATGTTTATGAGACAGAGCAACGATGCCAGCAATACTACCATCATGTAAAACAATTACAGGCTTTCATTTTACACTCACTTGGCAGGACGGTAGTACCTCCCTGGGCAGTTGCTGTCTACCAACCTACAACCTAGGCACACTCTATCTATCCCAACCAATTTCACAGAGGTTATTTTTCAATAGTAATTTCACTAAAAACAGAGCACACAACAAAGCAGATATACCAACAACACTATATAAAAAGTTGTTCAGGTGCTATCACATACTGATGCAGTATTATTCAACATATCATTTGAAACCAAACTTTCCTTTAAATTATTAAACTCTGGTGAACAGTACAATGCTGCAGTGAAGCCTCTGTTATAATATTTTGTTCAGGACTGGCCTTGGTCAAGACATTTAATACAGTCACTCTTGGATGAAACATCATAATATAATGTTCACTGCAAACATTGTCTCTCTCTTGCTACCTGTCAGCTTGTGGCATCATTCATGTGCTTAAGCCAGCAATGGTCATGCCATTCTACAAAATATGACAATCTTAGAAAAAACTATAATTGCTGGTCAACTTCTAATATGTATGTGTAGTGTGACCTAAGTGTAAGAAGAAGTAGCAAGGCGTACCTGAAATCTTGCATGTTTATGAGACAGAAAAATGGACACCAGCAATCCTACCATTGTGTAAAACAATTACAGGCTTTTGTTTTACTCTCAATTGGCAGGACGGTAGTACCTGCCTGGGCACTTGCTGTCTACCAACCTACTACCTAGGCAATATGTTATTATTATCTATAAAAAAGTTAAATAATAATAATGACAGAAATGTTAAAAGCAGGGGGCATATAGTGTTGGAGTGGTTAGTGTTTTTGTTTAATACATGTATGAAAAAAGGGAAAGTACCTAGGGATTGGCAGAGAGCATGCATAGTTACTTTATATAAAGGGAAGAGGGGCAAAAGATATTGTAAAAATTGTAGGGCATCAAGTTTACTGAGTATACCAGGTAAAGTTATTTATTATTTTATTTATTATCACACTGGCCGATTCCCACCAAGGCAGGGTGGCCCGAAAAAGAAAAACTTTCACCATCATTCACTCCATCACTGTCTTGCCAGAAGGGTGCTTTACACTACAGTTTTTAAACTGCAACATTAACACCCCTCCTTCAGAGTGCAGGCACTGTACTTCCCATCTCCAGGACTCAAGTCCGGCCTGCCGGTTTCCCTGAATCCCTTCATAAATGTTACTTTGCTCACACTCCAACAGCACGTCAAGTATTAAAAACCATTTGTCTCCATTCACTCCTATCAAACACGCTCATGCATGCCTGCTGGAAGTCCAAGCCCCTCGCAC